GGTTCAGGGTTTAGGGTTGGGGTATTCGGGACAGTGGAGAGTCAAATGGAAAGGCACAAGGAAATGACATGGAAACTGTGATATAAGGATGTATTTCGAGTCTATAGCGGGGATTACAGGAATGATAGTTTCGGGTTACTACATGAGCCTAAATAAGTACCCATATCATTTTGATGTCCATTTGAGGTACCATAGACCATAATTATAAAAGGAATATGGAACCACAATATTGGTACTTATTTCGGCCCTACATTAGGGATTTAGGGTTCAGGTTCAGGACGTTGGGGTTTAGGGCTCAGGCTTAAGTGGGCTAAGGCATGGGGTGGACGACCACTGCCTCCACAACCAAATGGAGTGCGACCGGCGGCCGCACCAGAGCCTTCATCTCGCAGATATCTCTCCTGAGGTTGTAGGTTTGACAGAAAAACGCTCATGACTTTTCTGGATCAAGCTGCATAGTATGGGGCAACCCCAAACCTAAACCCAAGCAAGTTCACCTGTTCAATGACCTTCTCACACTGAACTCAAAGGCATAAATCGCTTGGATTGTTATGAGTATATTTGCGTTTACTGACGGCGCAGTACGTAGGCTTTATCTGATAAGCCTACGTAGAAGGCATGTGTATTTATGAACCCTGCACAAGTACAAAACGGGAAAAACACACACACACACACAAAAACACATCAGCAAGCCCCTTGAGAGGAATTCAAAGTAAAAGTGAAAATTGCTCTATCTGGCATCCCAGCTGCTTGTTCACACAGCTCATTTCCTCCATGGCATACTCCAGGTGAGACCGCATGACATGCTCCAACTCAATGCAAGTTCTACGATCCCATTCGGCCTCGTCAGCTTCACTTTGGTACGGGAATACGGTTTGGGTCGTGGAGTTTGGGGTATAGGGTTTGGGGTATGGGGATTTAGGATCGGAGTTCTCCCCAAACTCCCCAAACTCCCTAAACCCCTCAGACCCCTGATGCAGGACCCCATTTCCTAAACCCTATATACCCTTATATCATCCCTCTAACACCCTTGAAAAGAACCCTTTACATACCCACGATACTTAAAATAGCAGTTTCCATTTCTTGGTCCATATCTTTTTCCATTCTCCATGAAACCCTACATATCCCTACATTGGCCTTTATATCCCCAATATACCCCAAACCACCTACCTGACCCTAAACCCCAAAACCCCGAAACTGCCCCGGCGTGAAGTCCCCTGGACCTGGTCTATCTCGTTGGGCTTCTGCTTCACATCCTTCACTTCCGGCAAAAGCGACTGGAAGGTGTTGGCCGCTGCATCCGCCCGGTAATACATCTCGCACTCCTTTCGGGTTTAGATCCTAGGTGTTTAGGGTTTAGGGTTCAGGGTGGTACATCTGGCTCTCTTCAACCCAGTGGCAAGGATTTTGGAGGTTGGGTGGGGTTGGATGTTTGTTGGTTTTTTCGTTGGAGTTCGGGGTTTGGGGCTTGGGCAAGAGGTGCTACGTTTGCGGGATTGATTCGTACTGAAGGGAAACTTTCAGAATGCGTTTTCGGGCCATACTGTTTCTGGAGGTAACCCTGCACCACTCTTCCTCCCATGGTCCCAGACGTGTCATTAGGCTAAGCACTTTACATGGCAAAAAACTTCTGTTTATCAAAAGTAGGAACCCTAAACCCTGAAGCCTAACCTAAACCCTAAGCCCGGGAATTTTCTATGGATTCCATGGACTCGTGGAATTCCAGTGAAGCTGCGATAAAGACTCGACGGGAGCGGCATCGAAACAATGCCACGAACTTCTAAGCCACAAAACCTTAGAAGTTAAAGAATGAAACTCTGAAATTTAAACCTTAAACCCTAGACACCCAGACCCTAAACCTCAATTGCCCTAAACACCGAGGACCTTAAACCCAAAACCTTGACATCCATAAGCCCCAAATGCTCCCCATACATCCTTGCATGCCCCTACATAAACCCTACATAACACTACAGCCCAGGTAACGGCCAGTCAGGGGACAACCCCCCCCCTCCCCAGCACCTGGCTGTCCAGGCCAAGAGATTCCAGGGTAGCAGCATAGCGGTCCTTCAAAATGGCGCTGTGTCAACAAGGTTTTGGGGCGTTCGAGTTCTGAAAAACCGAATGAACAAAAAATGAGACGTGTAATGGAAATTTTTTTTGCAGAGCAGACTAATGTATGCAGGGTTTGCGGCTTTAGTCTTGAGAGTTTAGGCACCATAGGAGTTGAGGATTCAAGGTTGCATTGGGGCTGTCTCAAAATGGGTGCAGAGATGGCCATCAAACCCCGAAGAAACCCCACAAAGTCAACAACCAGCTGTCACGCACGTAGTCATAGTCTGTCGTGCATATGCAAACACATGTTGTGTGTATCTTTGCCTCGTTGTGGTAGCAACTTGGTGTGCATATTCCGGGGAAGGGACTAAAACTTGGGTACTGCCCCCCCTCAGTAACAGTTGGATAATAATTATAGTATGGTTATTTATAGCCCTTACTAGGACCTAATATAGACTGTTGCTGGGTGGGGGCAGTACCCAAACTAAAACAATACTGCAGTAACAGAGTCGCAGCCGCATAGTGGATTGCAGCCTGGCACTGACATAGTAGGGGGATTACAATGGTACGTATGCCTGAGCCCCTTAAAAACCTGAACCCCTAAACCCTCGACCCTTGACCGCGCCACGAACCGGCAGCAAAAGACACCAGCCCTGGATCCTAAACGCCTTACAACACTATTATGCCTAAACCCTAAACCCTGAAACCTAAAACCTCAACCCTATAGCCCCTCTTAAGTAGATAGAATATGGGATATATGGGGATCTCCTTTATGATAGACCCAAAGTTCAGGTTTTGGAAGTGGAGGTGCCGGGTCTGAGAGCTTTCTTGTCACACAACAGTTGAGAGCAGCCGGGGGCTCTGATAGTCGGCGAAAGGACTTCGACTCTTCGACTCCGTCTGCCAAACTCTCCTGAACCCTAAACCTTAAACCCTAAACCCCTAACCCTAAACCCTCAACCCTAAACCCTAAACCCTAAACCCTCAACCCTCAACACCGCTCCATAGGCTCGCTGTCGGGATCGATGAAGAGCGTGATGCGGCCACAATCGCCGGGAAGCACTGGACGAAGTCGATCGACAATGTCCTCTGAATATCGACTTGTCGTATAGTGCCCCTTAAGTAGATAGAATATGGGGGTTATAATGGGATAATGGAAAAGAAAATGGAAACCACTATTTAGGGTTTATTGTTTAGGATTTAGTCCCCCTTAAGTAGATAGAATATGGCTTCGTGTATATTATAATAAGATCCCCATATACCCCATATTCTATCGACTTAAGGGGGACTATATTCTTAAAGTGTGCTAGAAGTCGTATGACCTGAATAGGTGTTAATACTAGCTTACCACTAACGTTATGAAGGCTGACGAGTTTTCGTTGAAGGTTCCCAGAGCTGGGGGGTGCCTTACTGTGCACCTACTGCAAATGATTAGCACAGTGTTTTGCGGCATGTTCTACTACAACTATATGAGCCATTGTCTAAACTCGTAGTATCCCCCTTAAGAACCCCTTTAGTAGTCTCCTATAAAATCCCCTATATAACCCCCTTTAAGGAGTTTAGACTGTAGCCTATATAAATACAACTATATCAAGGCTACATGGGCTTCGAACAATGATTCAAGCGCACTTCACTTCCAGCCAATGACCTGATCCCAATCCAGACCAGAAACCCTTGTTTGGGTTTAGGGTTTAGGGTTTAGGGTTTAGGGCATTTGTAAGTGCTATACCCTAGACACCAGATGCTGAACACTAATTTCGGAATACCTAAAACCTAACCCCCAACTCCCCAAACCCTAAAACCTAAGACCCAAATCCTAAACCCTAAATCCTACACCCTACTAAACCCTAATTCCTAAACCCTAAATCCAAAAAACCTAAACCTTGAGCCCTAAACCGCAATCCCATTACCAAGCATCCTTGTAGGTCCAATCAGGCTGAACGCCCACAAGAGTGGTGAAGACATCACCGGACAAGAAAGACTTAAGGCTCAGGCACCCTCCTGTCCTGGGTGGTTCAGGGTTTAGGGTTGTAGGTTTAGGGTTTGAGGGTTAGGGTTTGGGTTTCGGGTTTAAGTAAGCAGAAAACAGGGATCATCCAGGGATTATATATGCTCTGTATAAGGCGTATAAAATGCGTTTTTGTCTAAACTCATAGTATCACTCTTAGTATCCCCTATTGTCGTCTCCTATATAATCCCCCAAATAACCCCCTTTCAGGAGTTTAGACTATAGCTCATATGAAGCTACATAAGGTTTGGGAATATTACCCTGATGATTAAAAAAATCCAATGGAACAGAAGATGGAGGATGAACAGAAACTGGGACGAGGTAGGAATGTAGCGTTTTACTTGAGGGCTCCAGACTCCTGGGAACCGGGCCCCTGCCCTGGGGGCCCGGTTCCCAGGGGCCTTTGGGGCCCGAGTGGACGGCAGCTTTGCTGTTTTCAGTGGTTGCGCAGGAAATCAATCGGCGCAACGGTGTCCCATCCTTGATGATGCGATAGAGGATCTTATCGTGATTTGTTGGGCAAGTCCATGTTCTATCTACTTAAAGGGGCTCTACACCCTAAACTCTAAACCCTATTATATCTTCTTAAGGGGGCAGACTTGTTTCACGAGAGGCTCTTGGAACGATGCAGAGCCCGGGTTCCGGACTGAAGGTTGAAACTTGAGTGCTTAGCATTTGGGAGTCCTCAAATGAAGGGTTTTTAGGGTTTAGGGTTTGGGGTTTAGGGCTCCAAAAGGCTGCAATATACTGGTTTACTGTTCAGGGACTTGAGTTGGCTTAGCATAATATAGGTATGTAGTCATATTGTGAATGATCAGGTTTCCTTATTATAGTAACTTAATTAAACTTCCTTAACAGCCTTGTGTAATGTCATCCTTTTTCTGGGAACTCCCCAACTTTGGGGGAACTCCATGCGGGATTTGGAGTCTTAGGTTGACAGTTGCGGATTTGGTGCTCTCAATGCAGGCCTCATGCATCCTGGGTGGCGACGAGTGGGAGGCGCTTAGGGTTTAGGGCTTAGCACTTAGGGTCGGGAGTGTAAAAGTTGGATGCCCCCTACCCCGCTAAAATATGATTCCAACTACAAGGACCCAACCAAAAGTATTGGAACCGCGCCCACTAATAATAGCAATATGTCCCCTATAAGCCCTATATGGTACCCTAAGTCCATTGTGGTAGTCTCCATTTTCTGTTCCATGATCCCAATATAACCCCTAGATTCTATCTACTTAAGGAGGACTATACCCTAAACCCTAAACCCTAAATAGTAGTTTCCATTTCCTTTTCCACTATCCCAATAAAACCCCTATATTCCATCCCAGTGTCGCAGGCTCCTCACTAAAATCATTGGAGCCCATCGGGCTCTTGGCAGCGGCTTTGGCGGCCCTGGCCTCATCCGCGGCAGCTTGCTTGGCGTTAGCCTGAGTCGTACGGAAGCAAAGAGGAATAAAGGTTTTGGTGGCTGCGGGGCTTAGATATTTGGTTTTGGGTTAAAGGCTTGATGGGAAGAGGTTAGGGATAAAGAACCAGTGGGCAAAGGGCTTCTGATTAAGATTCCTTTTTCAGCGTGGGGTGAAGATGCTTTCGAGATGAGGTAAGATTAGCAGAGAAAAAGAAATCTTGAAGGCATTGATGGGGTTGCCTATGAAGGATTGCAGCATACATCTCCAGCAATGAGCCATGATGATCTCTGATGCAACGAAAATGCACGAAACTATACCAAAAACTTGGTTAAAGCCCAAACTCCGAACCTTAAACCTCAGATTCAAGACCCGAAACCCTAAACCCACAGCCCCGAATCCCTAAATCCCTAAACCCTAAATCCCAAAGCCCAAACCCTCTGAGTAGCCCGTTCGTCTCGCGCTGCCTGGGCCTTCAGGGGCTTCTGTCTTTGAACTTTGGGTGGGATTTAGGGTTTAGGGCTTAGGGTTTAGGGTTTAGGGGCTTCAACTTGGGTCTAACATGGAAACTGAAATGGAATACATGCTGACGTATGGGTTATAGTTCCCTTTAAGTAGATAGAATATGGCTTAGGGTGTGGTATAGTAAGATCCCCTATACTGTACCCCATATTCTATCTACTCAAGGAGGACTATACGTTTTAGCGTTTAGGGTGGGTTTATGAAACTATGTAGGGAAGCCTGCTTTTAATTTTGAAATTCTACGAGAAATCTAGGATCTCAGCAAAGGTCATTGCTCGGGGTTCCACACTACTCCTCCGAGCCTCCTCCCTTGCTGCACGGAGATTGTCCTCCGCCACAGGGAATGCCGGAGGAGGGCAGAGGCATTCTTCCCCCAAGGCATGGCACCATCGCAGGAGCAGCACGCATGCAGGAGAGAACTGCGCCATGAACTCCGTGGGAAGTGCATGGACCTTCAAGCAAATGTTAGGGTTCAAGGTTTAGGTTCCAGGGCTTAGGACAGGGTTGCGGCTTTAGGGACGTAATGATCAAAGACTTAAATCGAAAGCGAAATTGAGGCTGGGTTTAGATAGGGGTTTCGCAGGATAGGATGTAGGCAGTCGATTTCGTGCGCATCGCTCTGATCACACTGATAATGATCACATGACACAGGTAATAATTCTGGCGCTTATCTGTCAATAGCTGGAAAGATCAAAATGTCACAACAGGCAAATTTTGATGTCCCTGAACTGTGCATAAGTTATGCCCACCTTCACCTAAAACATCACCTACCTGCATCAACCTCTGCATGGAAAAATTACAATCCAACAAACTCCTTGATAGGGTGACAAGAAGAAGCAGCGTCCTAGTTTGAACAAGCACGAACGAAGCGGTTTAGGGTGTAGGCCTTAGGGCATACAAATCATGGGGAATAGATGAGGAGCAAAATGCTACCAAGAAGAATGGAGCATAATCCCCTCCCCCTAATCTTAAACCCCCC